TCCAGGCTTTGAGATAGAACAAATGGGAGTCATTAGTGAAATGAGTTTAGGGAGTTCTAAATTAGCTGTCAGGCTGCCAAACCCGAAGAAGTGCTATGTCAGCTCATTAATTCCGGAGAGCACAGGATTACCCAAACCTAGGAAGGAATCCTGCAAAATTTAGAGTCAATTAAAGGAGGCTATTTTGCTATAATAATATTTTCCACACATATTACACCTCCTCATGGAACAGAGCCCACTTCTACCACAAATGAAATCTCTGGCGGGATGGAGTGTGGCTGATGTCTAGACAGCTGTAATGTGTTCTCCACAGGCTTGTCCACTGGCATCTCTGGGAAGCTCCAGCTAGAACAGAAGGCGGGGACTGCAAGCTGCGGAGCACATCACCCAGGCTGGGGTGGCCCCAGGAAGGAGGCACCTGTCTCCCCGAGCTCCTTGCTTTCCCCATACCACCTGAAAAAGCACATCTGTATGGGGCGTGATGTTCTGTACCAGGAACACCCGTGACACGTGGAGGTAATGCCTAGCATCATGCATGCATACCACCTCTTGAATTTGCCTCCCTCCTTGGTCTCCCTGACCCCAGATTTGTTGACACCCTGCTAGCAAACCCACACTTTGTTAACCTCCACAAACCTCCTGTCTCAGAAGCATCTCTTGAGTCCTGAGCTAAAACCCACTGAACTCAGGAGGAGTCTTTGAGAGGACTTCACTGGCTCAGGGTCCATCCCCCTGGGTGGCTGAAAACACTGGCAGCGACAGGATGCTGAGAAGGAGAGCTGTCATACCTGTGCGCTGCCCCTCGCGTGGGGTGTCCTCAAACAAGGCCTCCCATGCTGCAGACTAGAAGGTTTATAAACGACAAGGTTTATAAAATAGATGGTTTATAACCTTCTAGGGGACCCAAGAATTTTTTTACACTGTGATAGACTAGGTCAATGGACAAAATACCACTGGATAGCAACCCAGAACACACTGACTAATAACCTACCTACATATACCGCACCCCAGCCTTCAGAACACCCAAGCACTTGCGCAAATAAAAGTTACCTCCACAGAGAGGGCAAGCCCAAAGACCTCTCACACCCCCCTGGCCTCTCTCCTGATGGCTATCGCTTCTCATCGCCCTGCAGGACAGCAGTAGCCGGGGACAAATTAAAATAAAAATCACATGGCTGTGAAATACAAATGAGGCAAAAAATGCCTTCACCCAACCAAGAGAGCTCTGTCTCCCTAACTGCGCCGGATACAAAGATCGTGAACAAACAGGATAGAATGTCTTCTGCCTTTTGTGAAATGAAAATAAATGAAAGGATCTAAGGTTTCAGGTCACTGATCCCTCTCTTCCCTATCTGTACCATTTATCGGAGGTAGAATATAAAGGTTCCAGGTCCTTTTCTTTTTTTTGTCAGCACTTTAATGGTTGTTTTTTCTCCTTCCCCCTTTCATTTTCTGAATGAAAGGACCACTTAGGAACCTGTAAAGTAATAATAAGCTTATAACAGGAATATTGTTTTTCCGGTCCAGTGCAACCTCCTTCTGAATAGGTTGAAGAGATTAAAGTAAAAATGCAATCTGTAAATAGATCGGTCTTTTAATTAGTTTATAGTCTGTTAAGAGATAATATTTTGCTCACATAGATCATCTGTTATCTAAAGATCTCAGAGCACTTTAGGAACATCAATTAAGCCTTAAAAAAAAATAACCTTGGGAGATAGGTAAGTGTATTTAGATTAATTAGTGTTGCTGTGAGCAGCAGGCATTATTATTAGATTTAATTTAGTCCAATAATTGACTTATCTGTTAATGGATTCTAATTCATCTGAGAAAGGATCAAATCCACCTGATTAAAAGGATTACATCGACTCAATTAATTCTATCAACTGACTTAATTTGCCATTTAATAATTTGACACATGGGGCCAGATCTTGGCCCTGAAGAACACATAAACTAAAAATTACATACCGGAATTATTATGCCAGCAAAACTATGCATTGCAGAGCATGCATTTTTCCTTGCACATGGCATTTGCAGACCCGGATAAAACATTCAAGGGGGCTTCCTCCGGCCTGGTTCCCCCAGCCCTGCGGTATCTTCTCTCCCTGAACCAGGGCTGGCTGGTCATTTTGCCGTACTCATGATGGCTGCCTAGAAACAAGCAATTCACTGCCTGAGATCTGCCACCTCCCCTCTTTTCTGGGCATTCTCGTCAACCAAGAGGTGAGAAGTTTTACAGAAGTCAATAAAACCTTGCAATAAAACTAACTTCTCTTCAAAGGCAGGACAATCCTCCGATGCCAGCCATTTGGAAGCTGTATATGTGCAAAAAAAAAAAAGAGAGGGGGGACAAAAAAAAGCATCTTTTCACTTGGACACTGTTCTTTAACCAGTTGTGAATGTATGGGAGGAGAGGGTAAAGAAGTGCTAAAATGTTATTAGCTCCCTTATCCTTAAAACTGGCTAGTGCTAATTGCTGGTGATGAGCCCTATGGACCTTAGCCACAGGCACGCCGCTGGACAGAGCTTCCCACATTAAGCTTGAGTCTGCATTGCCCCTGCCTAATGTTACCCTCTCTTAATGGGACAGAGTTGCTGGGAGAATTCAGGGCTGGAGCCAGCTCACAGGCACCTTTTCCCATGTCTCTTGCCTTTTCTCAGACATTGGCTCTTGCTCATCCTCCCAAAGCCTTCCCCAGACTATAATCCTTAGAACATCAATCCACATCCCCTCCACCATCATCTACCCTGTCACTGGGGACAGGGTTAAGACAGTGGAGAAGCTGTGGGAGACTGCACCGTCTGCAAGGGTGACGTAGCCAAGAAATGAGCTGGGCAATCCCCAATGCTAAGCCTAGCTCTGACTCACCATGCCAGCGTAGAGGCAGTAAAAGAGGGGAAGAAGAGAAAAAGAGCAGGAGGAAAAACAGCCATCTGCTGCATGAGAGGAAAGGGGTCCTCCTTTAGAGGCAGATCCAACCGCAAGACGGAGATGTGCATCAAAAGTTTGAAACTGTTGAGATCCCCAGACCTGGTTTAAGCCTCTCTCTGGTCTTGATCAAAGGTTACTCCATAATAATGCCTCGGGGGGAGGGGTTCCCAGCACATAATGAATCCTGTGTCATTGCCTTTGTATCCAGTTTTGGCTGTAACACAGATGGTTCTCACTTCAGTAACTCTGACATCTCTCCCCCTTCATTATCACAGCTAGGAGCTCTGCGTGGTCACATCCTGGACCACCACGTCCCACCTCACTGTCTCCCCGATTATCATGCTTTAAGTGTTCCTGTGCCAAGCAAGATGATGAACAGATTTCCATAACCTTTCAGCATGGCTAGGGATGGAAAGGCTTTGCAGCTTGATGCATCAAGGAGTTTTATTAGGAGGCGCAGGGGAGGGAGCAGGCAGGGGTGTCAGCAAATGGCCTCCACGGCCGGAGCACTCCGGGTTTTTTAGAAGGACGCCAGCAGCCAAGAGCAGAGAGGATTTGGTGGTGAGCAGCGACGCAGACGCAGCCACCCGGGAGCTCCCCAGACAGGAAATCTCAGGCTCTGCAATTGTGCAGCATCGCCACCGGTCACAAGCACACTCCTGCGCGAGGATTTGTTGTTCAGACACGATTGCATATGTATGAACGGGACAAGATGGGCTTTGACACATAAATTAGCACTTGTCAGCTGCTCACGGGCACACTTCCCTGCTGCACCCCACTGTAAATGCTGCCTTCTTTTATGGAGAGGAAAACTACATCACGTTACCTGACAGTCACTGTGGGCAAGAGCGTTTCCTGGGAAGCCAGCAGCGAGCATGCAGTGACTAGTTTACATATCAAACCTTAAGAGGATGAATGCAATAAAATGACACAATAATTAGCAGCCAAGTGGCACTTTCGACTCCTGTTTTATCTGGAAATTTGGGAATGACAAAGGACAAGGTTGATGAGACCTCGGGGCAGGGCTTTCTCTGAGAGATTGGGTGACTCTACACAACAGCCTTGGGGGTTCATTTCACACCATCCAGGTGCTTTCTAGCTGTCACCTCCCATGGCACAGCTCACCCTGCTCCCCCGCCCATGGCAGTAGCTGCCCTCTGTGCTAGGCACGGTGTGTACCTCATCCCCCCCAAAGGAACAACCGTTCCCAGGTTTTGACCTGCCATCATTGTAGCCTACCTCCACGCCACCACTGCTGCACGTGAAGTCAACCTTACGTGAACATGCATGCTAACCAATGCATACACACCTCTGCAGCAACGCATAAACGCACAGGGCTGTACATCCATAAGAGAAAAAAGATCAGTTCTCTGAACAGCCCTAAAATCCTTCCAGCAATCAACTTGAGCAAAAGCATCTCTGTCACAACCATCTCAAAATGTACCAGAATTACAGAGGTTTTTTGTAATTCAGCCTGCCAGCAGCATTTCTAGCATGTTGCTTGTGTGCAAATCACAGTGAGAATAGTCAAACACGCTGCTAGCCTGGGGGAAGTTCAATTATTTGCGTTCCTGCAGGATCCACATGCCCCAAGATTCAACTTGAGTTCTGAGGTACCTCAAATCTCCAAAGTCTGTTTTCATTTCAGCTCAAACGAAATATCTCCCCTGCCTAGAAAGATGAGAGTGCTTCATCGAAGCACTGGATTCAACCAAACTTGAGCCCAAAGTTCATGGGGAAAGAACATTCCCAATCACCAACCTGGATATCATTTATGAATTACAGTAGACACACTGTGAGCTCATCCATTGGGAAGAAAAAGATTTTTCTCTTCAAGCACCATCATACACCAATAAACTGGGGCATGACACTACTGTGGGAACTGCTTGTAGTTGGGAGCCAGGCTGACAGCCTGCCCAACACAACAAATCTCATGTTCTTAACCTGGAAAGGTTTTTTTTCCCTTTTATCCTATTTTTTATTGATCTTCTTATTTTTCTCCTAAGTGGTTCTCAGCCCAACATACAGGATTATGACCTGGAGTCTGGGGGATCCCAGTAAATATTCTTACCATATTTATCTCCATCTTCTCCTTTGGCACTGATCCTCCTGCCGAGCACTTGGATGTGTTTCCCACTTGTCCTGCTGTAGAGCTGATAGAGCCGAAGCTGCTTCCTGCTCACGTCGTCCCTCGCTCGCGTCTGGTTCTCCACATGTATCCGAAAATCTACATTCTCCTCGGCAGCAAACATCTGAGAGCGGATGGGGAGGGGCGAGAGAGAAGAGAACAGACCATGAAACAAAACAAGCATCTTGGAAAGAAAGACCACACACCAACCTGCCAATGGGCACGTGGTGGAAGAGGACTCGGATTTGGCTGCCCTTCGCTTGACAGCTGCGGCTGCAGTATCAGGCATTCAACATGTAATTCTAGCCAGAGCTGGCTTCAACAGTAAACCAAACCTGGGTTTTTACAATCAAACTGTGGGGGTTTTTTGAGTAAAACTTCTGCTCAGTCCTGCTTTCATTTAATCCTGGTCAGCCATGCTGGCCATAAATTAGGCTCTCCTTTGCCTTTGCATAGCCTCTACCAGGTTACATGGACACGTATGGGAGAAAGGGGATGGACAACTCCATTTCAGAGAATTTCTGCTCCACCTTCAGCAGCTGCATTGATTCCCCAGATTAACTGCAGGGAAGAAGTCAAGGGAAAAAACTATTTATGCTGACATTAGCAGACTGAACGCTAGCTCTGCACAGGCATAAAATCTACTATGATAAAAGTGTCATTTGTACTCGGGCACTCTTCAGCCTAACTTTTTTGCCAGCTCTGCTTTTCAGTGAAACCGGCTCAGTGGTGATCATCTATGGATGCATCTCTGTCTGCCTCAACAGGGCCACGGCCTGGGGAGAGATCACGAGAACCAGTGAGAGCCAAACCAGCACGTCCAGCCATGAGGCCATTATCAGCAGGGGTCTGATCACTTGAGCCTCTTCATCTGTTTTTTCTGGCCAATGGATTAAATTAACCTTAGTCCATTACAGCCTTAAAATATTACCAGAAACTTTCTCTGACACATCTGCCCTTCTCTGAAGGTCTCATTTCGTATCTTAACTGTTCCCAAGAAACATCGTAACAGGATTCCTGCTTTTGCTTCCAGAGTCATCCCACCTTGCCCAAGGTCAGAGGACCAGACAACCTAGACTTTCTCAAGATGCCCTCCCAAAGGGGAGGCTGGGCAGCATGCACCCAAAAGCACTTCACACCCAAACAATACAAAAGCCCAGAAATTGCTCCACAGTCAGTCCCCAAAAACGTTTGCACCACAGCATCCATGCTGCCCACTCCAAACTCACAGATGGACAATATTTTGGTGGCAGACTCCCTTCACAGGACAATAAATCGTTTGGAAACCAAAAGCAAAAGATTATCGAGTGGCACACACGCAAAACCACCGCACAATAGGCAATTTTTAATTTGACCAAGACAAAGACCATTCAAAGTCTACTCATTGTTGGTGAGCTCTAATGCCGTGTTCCACTTGAATGTAAGAGACAAATTCCACCACAAAATAAGAATCACAGGGAAATTTAATGATGCCTAGGTTTGGGACTGGCAGAGGAACAGCATTTACTCCTAGCAGGGTTACTACTTCTAGCACATTCCCACTATGGCACGCTTGTCCTCCTAGCCTGCAAGCAACAGTCTTGTGATACATTGGTGTGGGGATGGAGCTGGCAATGCAAATGAAAAAGGGTCAATAAATCCTGGTTCAGGTCCATTCCAGGCTAAAACATGTAAGAGCAAGTGGCCACAACACACAAAACAGCCCCACTTCAGCCTCCTGCATATGTCATCTCATACCAGTAAATATTTTGAAGCCGAATACCCCCTGAAAGTCAAAACCTCTAAAGAACTTTTTAGCGTTTCCAATTATCAAGTAGACACACAGATCAGCAGCAGGAGGAAAACTTCAGGCAGGCAGTGCTGCTTAGCACCAGACTTTCACTAAGCAACCCAAACAAAAACATTATATTCAACACAGTGGCAACAGCAATGAGGTTCATAGGGACATTGTGGGATCGCCTTTGCTGCCCTTATTAAATGCTGGGATTATGCTATTTGAATCCCAAGTCCTAGGAGAGAAAGCAATTTAACTCTCTTATTTTACTGTCGGAAGTCAGGAGGAGGCTGCTGGAGCTAAATGGACAGGCTGACCAAAAGGAGATTCAGGGAAACGCTGTGTCTAAACAAACATTGAAGGTGATGACAGGAGTGACAGACAAGAATTACACAATTAATCATAGCAATATTTCCCACTCTCAGAAAACAGCGCAGCAAGAAGCCATGACCCAAAGCTGAGGACGCGAGAGGAGAAGCAAGCCATGGCACCTGCCAGGAGGGCACCGCCGGGATGCTGTCGGAGCTCATGCCAGCAATGAGCCAGGCTCTGCTCGCTCTCCTCTCCTGAGGCACTGCAGCTACGTCTGAGCACAGCAAGCAGGACTTGGCTTTTGACATGAATAATATTAATTTATTTTTTTCTTCCTACATCTCTTATTGCTTTCTTTTTAAATGATATTGTTGCAAAGGATGCTAAACTACTAAAAACAGAGATGTTCAAGTAATGTTGACAGTCTGCCTCGTACCCACAAAAGCAAGGCTATTTGCAGTTAAGATTCTGGCTCCATCGTTTTAAGATTTAAAACAGATTTTAAATCAAGATGACGTCGTTACATTGCTTTCACCACATGTTAATGAATTTCACATTTTTCTAGGAAAAAAAAACCAAAACAGGTGGGATCTGAAGTGGGGGAAGGGCAGGTTGCTTTGCTTTCTTGGAAACTTCAAACAGAAAAGGCAATCTGTTTTCCAAAACATGTTTTAATTCTCTCTTTTAATTGTCTCTTGAGCACTCACACCGCAGAGGCCCCAGCCCATAGCCACAGTGCCCAAGTGGACTCTGGAGCACCCATGGAGCCATCCTGCACTGTGGTCAGCTCCAAACATGCCACGAACTCGCCTGTGCATGTTTGTCACAGTTCTCCTGCCCAAGATCAGCTAATTGAGTATCTCCTCCCTTCGCAAGAAGGGCACACTGCAGCCCAGAGGGATGACATCTCCTTCTCCCCCAGCCAAGGGCTGGCATCACCCACAACCCCAACACCTTGTCCAAGCCCAGCGGTAGCCTGACACCGCGATCAGCAGGGGACACCAACCCCTGAAATAAAGTCAGCCTAAGCATGTATCATTCCATCACTTCTCCAGTAACAGGCCCACCTCTAACCCAGGGAAAGAAATTCTGAAGGAGGAACATGCTACAGGTTCTCCTTGCCGCTGGCCTGTCCCCTGGTCAAGAAGCTGTGGTCCAGAGCAGCAGTGAAACCACCAGGATTTAGCTGCCTGTTTAAAGATAAGCACACACTTAACGACTGTGTTGAAACAGGATGCTCTGCTGGAATGTGGCCAAGGTAAATTAGCCGTGCCAGCCTGGGCTGCATCTGGCCCACAGCAGAGAGTATCAATAGTCTAAAATAAAATTTCACGCAGCATCGATTTCATGAGATAAAACCTATTTGATCATTGCTGAAATCCATTCTCACAGTATCCCTGCCCTAAAGAGTATACTCCCCCAAGCAGCTAACTTTACTGAGATAAGAAAGTCCATTTATATATACCATAAGAGAGACTCTCTTTCATAAATCTCAAAAAAATTAGTAACATATGCCTCCTTTGGTAACTGATCACCAACACTCACTCAAGAAGGTCACCTAAAACCAAGTCTATCCACCCCCAAATACATTTCCATAACAATCACAACCACCCAAAATTGTAGAATGCAGAGATGTCTTTAAGTCCCAGCCCCACTTGAAAAGTTAAGGGCTTTCTCTTGTGTTCACCAAAGCAAAAGAAAACCTTTTTTTTCCTCCTTTGTTGTTTTTTTAACTATTAATATGTTATTACTGCATGTAAAAACACCATACAAAATGACCACCTTTTTTTTTTTTTTCCTTTCAATATGATAATCTGCACATCCCTGCTCTACGTAGCAAAACCTACAGACTCTGGATCCACAGTTCAGCACAACAGATCCCCGAAATGAATGGCTGCTTGCACCTCCCGACCAGCAGTGTGCCCTGCGAGACACTCTCTAGGGACAGGAAAAGGATCTCCTGCATTACTTTATCTCCTCCAGTGTTTTGGTGAGATTTGGGGTTGTATTGTGGTCTGCTTTGCAAATCTACCCAACCGGTATGGGCCGCTGTCTATGCAGGACAACTTAAGCATCTCAGGAGAGTAGGTTTCATATAACTCCACCTCACTCTTTGCCAACAGTTTATAGTCTGCAAAATCCCAGTCGTTAAAACAAAGCATCAAATTTGGTTTCATTTTTCTTCTTCCTCTCTTTTTCTTTTCAATCAGTTCCTCATCCATTTATTATTTATTTGTCACTACATCTTTCAGTGATAATATACAGCTACAAAGACATCCTAAAAATACAGTAGGCAATACAGAGCTTATGCAAGGGAATAAACAGCTTTTCTTTCAAAAACAACCATCACCTCAAGCAACTGATGCATCAGAAATGCCTCACTCCTGAAAAGAAGCAGCTCTCCCTCCTCTCTGTTGTACTTGCCCAATCATTCAAGGTAGGTGCATTTAGCCCTGCCTCTTTTCCAAACAGCCACAGAAACCAGGAATGACATCTGTCTTCAGACAGCCCACACTGGGAGATTTTCAAGTGCTTTTTTGCCGAATGGTTCTCAAACAGTGAGTGGATTTCATTTTAAATGGCTTTACAACGATCCTTCAGCTTAAAGAATGACTCTCCTATTTGTTACATCCCAGATGGAGGGTGAGGGAAAGGCCATTTTGCCGACGCAGCCTAAAGTTTCACCATTAAGTAATCCAAGAAATGCTCGAGAATGACAAAAGCTTCTGATAGCAGCACTGCGATGTTAGCCCTACACATGCTTGTGCCACATCTCTGCAAACACCGATGCCTTGTTGTGAACGGAAAGCAATCACAGCTCCACCAAGGTCATGAAGCCCTCGCGGTGCCAAGCCATGTTTATGGGATTTGGTTTTCCATCCAACCAACCTCTACACACTTCAAATTTTCTATTTTGAGCTTTCCAGTAAAAGGGGATGTTAATCTGTTATTGTTCATGTCATAAAGCGTTACAGCATGAGATGTCCAAGGCCCATAGCATGGCCAAGTTAGCTGGGAGCTGGACTTCAGAATTTCCT